ACAATTTTTCAGACTCTAACTTGAATCCTAGGGACTGACAAAGAGGAACAGTGGCAAAGATAGTGCATCATATTTTTTATGAAATTGCACCATAAATTTCTACCTGGCAGTTTCACAAATCTCTAGAGGGTTCATATTATTACATGTTTTCACTTGACCAATGAGTAAACTGAGGCAATGATTAATCTGTCTCAAAATAAAACATTAACAGACTTACCAGTAAATCACAGGATTGGATTTTTGACATATCTGCTTGTTCAGTGAAGGTTTTTTGTTTTTCTCTCGTTTCCCTCAGTCTTTATCTTTTCCCCCAATCACTTTTTGTCTCGTCTATTTTCCTGTTCCTCCTAGTTTGTGATATTTTGCCAATTCTTTATCTCCTACATAGCTTATCCAATTTGTCATTGTACAATTTCCCATAACTGCTTCTTAGCTTCTTATTTTTCTTCATTTGTCACATTTTATTTTCCAGGTATTGTGTTTTGATACAGTTTTGGAAAGTTTTACAAAAATACTTATTAAACTTACGCAACATTTTCGTATAAAATGTACTAGTTTCTTTGGCTCGTATTTTTCCCTCTATAAAAATCTATTGATAGCTGTTCCTTCCTTGCCTATAATTCTTCTTCTCTTCCCTCAGTTTGACCAGACTTGGAGGACTTAGATATGTGTGTCACTTTCTATAATTTAGGAACATTTCTCAATTTAAAAAGCACACAAGAAGTTAATAATAATGCAGTAACTCTAAAACATGCCCCTTCTGCTCCCTTGCCTGCTCCACGTATTTCTTGCGTACCTTTCTTTAATAGTGTATCTATTTTGTACACCTTTGTCCCCTTTCACACAGAGATTCTGATTCAGTTGGTTTACAGTGGAATTCTGGACTTTTAAATTTATATTTTGAAAAAGCTCCCTAGGGGAGTCTGATAAGCAGTCATTATTAAGAATGATGCTTTAATATTGGAATCAAAACACAATAAGCTTTCTAACTTTGATGAATAACCCAATCAATTTAATTATGATTTTTTTCTATCCAAAGCTAAGACTAGATGTTAATTGCCAGAGAAATAGATAAGGATGCTTATGACAACAGAACATTAATATGATATCAAAGCTTGGAAAGTTCACTGGTAGTGAATAATTTAGTACTTAAAATACTTAGAAGCTATAGAATGAAAATTAATTTGTTTTTCACTAAGTGAATAAAGTTGATTGAGGTTTTACATTTAATTTTGTAAGTCAAATTTTATCTTTGGGCTCAGAGGCTAACTGTAAAACAACATGTACAAGTTTTTACTTCCTGCTTTGATCCATTATTTTGTCGTCTTAAGCTTTATTACTGAAAATTCTCCTCATGTCAATCATATACTATAAATACTTCTCCTGATAACAAAATCTCACACAAATGCAGTACACTATTTAATGAGCTCTTCTTTCACAAAATTTAAAAAAAATCTGAAGGCCCTGTTTTGGGACTCTATATAAATGAGATTTGTATCTAACGATTTTAAATTATTGCTTCATTCTTAGCTACTCAGTTCTGTTGCTTATCTGGGAAATAGAAATAATAAAACCCTTGCTGATTCTACAGTTGGATTGTAAAAGTCACTGTAGCCATCAGCCATGAAGTAGAAGGGCCAAGATCAAAAATACAAAGCAAGGGGGCTGAGAGAAAATTCTGAAGCAGCTTTAGTTTATAGCATTATAACCTAGCCTCAAGAATTCTTTGATTCCTTAACAAAGATCCAGAAGGCATTTATTCTATCATGTTATTACTCAAAGTATTGTTCCCAGACCAACGATATCAGTATCCCCTTGAAGCTTGTTAGAAGTAGAGAATTTGGGGCCCTCGACAGACCTACTGAATCAGAATCAGCAGTTTAACAAGATCTCTAGGAGATGTGCACATTAAAGATTGAGACGCAGTGCTATAGTACACATCTGATAGGTGCTCCATGCATTTTTTTTTTGTTTTTTTGCGGTACGCGGGCCTCTCACTGCTGTGGCCTCTCCCGTTGTGGAGCACAGGCTCTGGACACGCAGGCTCAGCGGCCATGGCCCACGGGCCCAGCCGTTCTGCGGCATGTGGGATCCTCCTGGACCGGGGCGCAAACCTGTGTCCCCTGCATCGGCAGGCTGAATCCCAACCACTGCGCCACCAGGGAAGCCTGCTCCATGCATTTTTAAAAAGTATTTCTAACAGTCGTGGGTATTGGACACCATTGGAGATACAAATTAGAGTCATAATCTTTCTCCTCTAACGGCTTCCCTGACTTTGGTGTTTTCGGCAAAGGTTTCCCCATTTCAGGAGTCATTCATGATTGCGTGACCCAGCTAGTTCTCCAGCCCTGTTGATTCTGCCTTAACAGTTCATGTTACCTCTTGCCTTTCTGTTCTGGTGCATTGTCTAAACTCTAGGTTTAGCCCCAATACCTACCTCACAGACTCCTGTCCTAGCTGTTTTACCTGTGTCCCTGCCTTAACATTAGCCTAAACTTTGCCTCAGAATTACCTAGGAACACAGCTCTAGCTCTGACACTCCTGTACTTATGTCATTTTCTGTTTCTCTCCAACGAATTGCAAAGTCTTTAATGAAAAGCAAAGTCCTCTCTGCCCAAGCCCAATATTAATCCAGGGCTACACCTCTCCCGAAACTTCCACTCTCATATGGTGACAGAGAGCCCAAATGTATACTCGGGATCAGATCACAAAAATTGCACACCATAGGCCTTGTCTTCTGCCATCCCCTCCCCACCACCGCCCCGACCCTGCATGTCCCTAAGGCCTACCTATTCTTTCAATTCCAAATTATCCCCCAAATTATCTCCTTTTCATCCTTCCACTAAGATCCTCCCCCTTCTGATCTATCATTTATTGAGCACCTTGCTTTCTCTATTCTACTGTATATAGTGTAACAAATGATCATTCACAAATATGTCTAATCTTGTCAGCTAGATTATACACTGCCTAAAACCTAGAAAACTGTACTTATTTCTTTGACTCTCTAGGAGGTCTAGTGATCAGTATTAATACTAATAATACCTTGGCAATGATGAGAACTCCTTCCTTCCTCCCCTCGTCTCCTCCTCCGCTTCCTTTATTCATAGATTCATGCATTCACTCAGTGGATACTTATTGAAACCCCTCATGAGCCAGATGTTACAGTAAGCATTAGGAACAAGACTGTATATAGGACACAATCTCTGACCTCAAGGATTTTACGGTATAATCGGAATATAGACACAGTTTGTTATGAATGGGGCTACCTGTTACTAAGCAATGACTGTCACATGCAACAGTGATCTGAACAGGTGTTAAAGAGTGTGATGCAAGTAAAGTCAACTAGCTGCAAGGAAGTATCACGTGTTTACTAGAGCACATCTCATGCACAAGAGAGTATGGTCGGGAAAGCTTACAAATAGCTCAGTGACTGTGCATAGTTTTATGTTCATTGTGAGGTACTGTGCTCCTGGAATAATGGCCTGTTGTCATTTTTGCGGATTTAGTGAGTCTTTTAACTGCTGAAGTTATACTACCAAAGACTCTAGTATTCAAAATAATAATACATGAAAGTAGTAAAACACAAACAAACAAAAACCCAGTACATTTATGTGTAATGAGAATCTAAAGGAGATTTGACCCAGTCTTAGTAAACAAGCATTCATTTATTTATTTGGCAAGCATGTAATGGAGTTTGTATGTACTTGCTCTTGGGACAGAGGGATTTAAGAATATTATGTAATTAGAATCACATGTACTGGAAAGTGGTCTGCATAATGACTATCCCATCCATACATAAGGGTCTGTGAGTCCTTTAGATTGAAATATGGTAAATATCTCAAGTTCTTATATTACTTCATTTTCTAATCTTCAGGTTTAGTAATGGGTTGTAACTGCCTTACAAATTCTAGATTACCTTTTTTAAATTTTTTTATTTTTTATTTCTTGCGGTACGCGGGCCTCTCACTGTTGTGGCCTCTCCCGTTGCGGAGCGCAGGCTCCGGACGCGCAGGCTCAGCGGCCATGGCTCACGGGCCCAGCCGCTCCACGGCATCTGGGGTCTTCCCGGACCGGGGCACGAACCTGTGTCCCCTGCATCTGCAGGCGGACTCTCAACCACTGCGCCACTAGGGAAGCTCTAGATTACCTTTTTTTTTTTTTTTAAAAAAAAAAAAAAAAAAAAAGGTAGAGTGCCATTTTTATTTAACGGCAAAAGGCATTTTTAATACATATTTGGTTGTAACAGTCTTTTTTAAAAGAACTATTTTTCTGACACTGTACTCTTAAAATTTCATTTAGGATAAAAAGCTAGAAGATACTTAAGCTTGACACCGTCAGTGACTCATAAAAATGTTCTGGTGGCTATAGATTATTTTTAAATTTCTCTGTACCTTAGGGATTTCTTGATAGGCTGCCCCTGAAAGCAATTAATTCTCAGTCTTATGTGGTTTTATAATGCAAAATTCATTGATGGAAACAGAATTTGAAATAAATTTCCTCCTCGTATCGTAATGAATTTTTGTTTAAGTATCTCGAGGCTTTTTTAAAAAATACTCTGGCTACACTATGTTTCTTCTTTTTCACCTCTCATATTGACAGTCTCAAAGAAATCTAAATACTTTCTTGTTTAAATTTTACAACACTTCATACACTATTAAACATGGAATATCCTTGTGGGGACAAGAAATCGAATTTGCTCTTGAGAAGGTTTCCAACTAATTGATTTGTAGGACATTATAGCATCCTCTAGTTGACAAGCTTTACAAATATAAAAACGAGCTGAACTGAGAGGGTGCTTTTTTACTGACACATAAGACGTGTCTTTCTGTCTTGTATCCTTTGGATATGGGCATGTCAGTTTCATAGAGAAACTTTCACATGGAGCTTTTTTATTTCTTTCTCTCCCAATAGAACCGCATGTGGTAGCACGTTGTTTAATCTTTTCTCAAATAAAAGAACATAGGGCTTCATTTTTGTTTTGCCTTTTTGGTATCTCACAGGAACTCCAGGATGGCATCGGGCAGCGGCAAACTGTTGTCAGAGTATTGAATGCAAATGGGGAAGAAATAATTCAGCAGTCCTCAAAAACAGATGCCAATATTCTACAAGAAAAATTGGGAAGCCTGAATCTGCGGTGGCAGGAGGTCTGCAAACAGCTGGCGGAAAGAAAAAAGAGGTAGGGCGACAGATAAAATAGGAATTCTAAAGTTTTAGCGGAGCTGTTTAAGCTGCCCTTAAAAGAAAAAAAAAAAAAAAAAGATTTTGTGAAAGATTATAACCAGGGTGAAAGGCACTAACGTTAAGGAGCCCATCAACAGTTAATAGCAATAGTGAACTTGTTCTTTCTTTTTCTAGAATGATAAAATGCGTAGCTGTTGCTAGTTAAATAGGCAGTGCTTTTTGACTGTTTTAAATTTTGAAGTTTGTTTTAAAAATCACACATGATTGTTTAAATATGAATGTCTTCAGTCTATTCCAGCTTAAACAAGCTGCGTCTCAATTATTTTTTAAAGAAGATGAGAAAGGGAAGTTATAAATGACCATTTTGTAGGAAAGACTGCTCTTTGGCTAGATTTTTTTAACAGCTACAAATGTGACTTATGATGCTGAAAAACATGATAGTCATATTTACCTTTTAGTTCCACTACATTTCTTAGTACATTCTGAAAGAGGGACTTGGGCTGAAAACGTTCAAATCTAGAGAGGAAAACAAAACCTGAGAAAGGTTAGTGTTGAATTCAGTCATCATTTAACTTTCCCTTGGAATGTATCGAAAGCACAGACAGCCAAGTGTGTGCTGCTGCAGTTGGAAAACATAGATATTTTTATAAACAGGATTTTGTATTATGCTTCCAGTTGTTGCGAATGTTTCCTGTTTCATAAGGGAGGACTTGGTCGTTATTTACCAAATGAGACTATTGTTATGAACAATGAAAACTCAGTTCTACTGCCAAGCTCTTGCTTCCTACCTATCATCTACATAATAGGTGGATTTTAATATTCAGAAAACTAGAACAACTCACCGATGAGCGTCTTTGGTGAGGATGTGTTAGAAAGATTTTGGAATTACGTTCATTGTCATTGCCCACCTCCTCTGGCCGCCTTTGCTCATGTTGCATTATTCAGAAAGTAGGTACAATTCATACTGCTGTACAAAATGAATGCATTAGTTGATCTACACACATGTGCACACACAATACACAAATCTTGCTAAAGTTAAAAAATAACAGCATCATCTAAAAACATTTTTATTTTAAATCTTGGTTTAGAAAATATTGTTTTATATATATATATATATATATATATATATATATATAAAACAAAATATATATTGTTTTATATATTATATATATAATCATAAAATAAAGATCCAAACTTTGTAGTTAAATCGCTTCCTTGGGAAAGTCATACACTTTTTTTTTTTCCCAAAATTGAAATCCTTCTATTAAATACACAGCTATCCCATTATTTAAATAACTGATATATTTACACTATGGGCAGGTTTAAACCTGTATAACATCATTTCTGCCCCAGACCCAATCTAGTCCAAAATAAGATGTTAAGAAATGGGGAGATTAAGGAAAATTGAATAGCATGTATAAGAATATGTTGAATTCATAAAGTGAATTAAATTGATTGGAGGATTATTTTTTCATTATTGTATACAAGGTATTGTTTCTCATTTTGAAATACCTTACTCATATAATGTTTGAGTAAAGCTTGTTAATATTTTCTGTAACTTCTTACCTGGATTTTTAAATTCTTGTTATTGGTTACTGACTTCTAAATGCAAATTGTAACTTATAAATGAAGGTAGGGCAATATACCTGTTTCACCAAATAAGCTGTAAAATTTTAGATCTTTCTAAGCTTATAAGAAATTGGTGTATGCTGACTCTTGTGAAATACTACACAAACTGTAGGTTAATTACAGCTAGGGATTTGGCTGTAATTGGTTAGAAAAACTTTCTCACATTTAAACATTCTGACCTACATTAACTATTGTACTTTTGTTCCTTAAAAAGTCAAGATGAGCTTCCTTGAGTTTTTTTTTAACTCAGCTTTTAAAGTTGTCTACTTCATGATACATTTAAAAAATAAATGTTAGCATATTTAAATTTCCACTGAGATCAGTTTTGTGGCATAATCAGGATTTTTGTATCATTTAAATTTTATGAAATGTAAAGTAATAAAATATAAGTGCCATTTCTGTACAAACACACTCACAGCTATTTCCAAGCACCCAGTAGCACATAAAGTGAAAATAAGTAAAATAATATTTTATAAAGAATATGTTAACCTAACAGTTGTGGGAGGGCTGTACATGAGACTGTTATTAATCAGTGTCATGCTTTCAGTGCACCCCAAGCAGAAGTTAGAAGGAGATAGAAGTTATTTATTGCACAGGTGAAAAATAAGATGACTGTTCAAGGTGACAACAGTATTCTTAGTTTGCAGTGGGATTTAAATGCAGCTGTTGGAAATCAATATTTCTTAGTCCATGTACACAAATGAAAAAAGTGTATAATTTAAGCAGTTAAAGTCTACAAAAATTATTTGTAGCTTTATAGCTACAAATAATTTTAAACATTTCTCTTTGAAAATGTAAGCTATCCGAAATATGAGAAGAAAATTCTCAGAAAATTTCAAATAGCAGTGGACATCCATTAAGGTTAGTCTGTGTTGGAAGTAAATGAAGTATGAAATAGTCAATTAGCTGTGCAATTTAATATAGAAAATTTACTGTTGCCTCAATTAGGAAGCAGAGGAACTGGATAACATCTATGGGTTTAAGCATCATAGTAATGAGTTTAATGATGGCTTAGCCACCACAAAGGTCTTTGTAAACGAAGAAGATGCAAATGAAAACCTATTGACCATAAAGGGAAGTCACAGGTTAAAGCAAAGCAAGCCTGTATGTGAAGACGCTTAAGCCTCGGTCCACTGGTAGAATTCAAGGGGTGCCATGAGCTTGAATGGGGGGAAATACCTCTTTGTTTTCACTAACCTCTTAACTGAAGTTGAGCATCCCCTTGCATTTTGAATATAGGCAACAAACCAGAGCAATGCTAGCAGTATCTGTGAAATCACAGATGTGCTCCTATCTCATTAGAGTTGTTACATATATCTCAAAATACGGTTCATGCTTGTCACTGCTTCAAAACTACAGTAGCTATTCGATCTACCACAGTATCTTATTAATGTGTTAATAATAAACAAGCAAGCATTACTTTATCAGAAATTTGTGTTTCTAATAGTTTTGAAACTATTTCAATACAATTGGCTTCCTTTGGAGTCCTATGTATTTTATATTCTGGATTTAAAAACATTATTCTGAGAAGTCTCAGGCTTCACCGGATTGCTGAAGGGGGTCCATAACCTTAAAACAACAGCAACAACAACACTATTTCTAGTCAGCTGTTCGTTTAATCTGCCCAGACCTCATTCTCATACATTGGGCTGGCCAGAAAGGTCATTTGGAAAAACCCGAACGAACTTTTTGGCCAACCCAATACCATGGTTTTACTCCTTTTTGATGGTGTAGTCACCATCCTCAAACATTCACTTATTTTATCCTGGAGTTTTCCAGGAGATGTACCAGTCAAGGGAATGTAGGTGGGCAGGCCTTCAAGCAATGGGTTGCTGACAACATAAGAAACTGTATTTTACTTAGAATAATGTCAGTTTATGAAAGGTTGAATGAAAGAGGGAAGCAGCATAATGGGAGGTGCAATCCCTAATTTGAGGAATCTCTGAATCATTGCCCATAGCAATAAAAAATGACTTTAAGAGATTCTCTCTCTTTTCTTTTGACGAATGTATTACTTCCTCCATTTCACAGATACGACAAAAATTGTACTAGCATATACTGAGGAATAACACCTTTAATTTAAATTTGACTGGGTTGGAAATAGTGCTTGAAGTTTTTCTTCTCCAACATTTTTTAGTGAAAAGTTTCAAGCATATTGAAAAGTTGAAAAACAAGTAGCATAATGAATATGTACCCATATACCCTCCTCACCTCCTCGTACGTTTCTAGATTCAACAATTAACATTTCACCATATATGCTTTTTCTTTCTCTTTCTCTCTACCTCCCCAGTATCTGCCTTTATTTAATATAGGAAATAATATACGCACACAAATTTTTGTTGTTTTAACAGTTGCATGTAAATTATAAACACTTTTATACCTAACCACTAAATACTTCAGCGTGCATCTCCTTAGAATAATGGCATGCCGTATATAACCATGAGTGTTTATCATACTCAAGAAAATTGAAAATAACACCATATTTTTAATGTCCTGTCCATTCATCTTTTCAAAGTAGGGTTTTCTCCGGATATATGCCCAGGAGTGGGATTGCTAGATTATATGGTAACTCTTTTTAGTTTTTTTAAGGAACCTCCATACTGTTCTCCATAGTGACTGCACCACTTTACATTGCCACCAGCAGTGTAGGAGGGTTCCTTTTTCTCCACACCTTCTTCAGCATTTATTATTTGTAGAGTTTTTGACGATGGCCATTCTGATTGGTGTGAGGTGATACTTCGTTGTAGTTTTGATTTGCATTTCTCTAATAATTAGCAATGTTGAGCACCTTTTCATGTGCCTCTTGGCCATCTGTATGTCTTCTTTGGAGAAAAGTCTGTTTAGGTCTTCTGCCCATTTTTGGATTGGGTTGTTTGTTTGTTGGTTTGTTGGTTTTTGTGGTACCTGGGCCTCTCACTGTTGTGGCCTCTCCCGTTGCGGAGCACAGGCTCCGGACGCGCAGGCTCTGCGGCCACGGCTCCCGGGCCCAGCCGCTCTGCGGCATGTGGGATCTTCCCGGATCGGGGCACGAATCCATGTCCCCTGCATTGGTAGGCAGACTCTCAACCACTGCGCCACCAGGGAAGCCCAGGGTGTTTGTTTTTTTTTATATTAAGTCGTATGAGTTGTTTGTATATTTTGGAGATTAATCCCTTGTCAGTAGCATCATTTGCAAATATTTTCTCCAAGTCCATAGGTTGTCTTTTCATCTCATTTATGGTTTCCTTTGCTGTGCAAAAGCTTTTAATTAGGTCCTATTAGTTTATTTTTGTTCCTCTAGGAGACGGATCCAAAAACATATCACTGCAATTTATGTCAAAGAGTGTTCTGCCTATGTTTTCCTCCAGGAGTTTTATAGTGTCCAGT